ATGTAAGTTCAAGTCTATTTCCCTTTCCCCAAAAGACTATTATTATAATAAAATAAAAATATTTTCTTATTAAGAGAATCAACATAACTGACCAATTCTTTCATCAGCTATTCTGTAAATACTGACTGAGCACCTACTCAGAAACTGGTATTGCATATTTATTTTGGCTTCTTTTGAATGTGTTTATTTTCCTTTCATTATAAATTATCCTTAGCATATTTGCACTTTTGAAACCTTTGGCCTAAGGGCCATTTGTAAAGTAATTTTCACTTATGATTCTACAACAGTTAGTGGCCACAGAAATATTTGGACTTTTGATTTAGAATGTGTAGATGAATGACAAAAATGAAACATTTGTCTACAGAATTTACTTATGTATGTTTAGCCATTAAATTTGGGAGTCTGGGCCACTTTTGCTTTGGTAAGGACAATAATGTGAAAATGATTCTGGATCTTATGATGCTGCTGAATATCTGAGAGAGGGTTTGGGGGATATTCTCTGGGGGAAAAAAGTACTCTAAGCCAGTTAACTTTTCCTAATGCATTTTGGCTCAGATTGAGCAATGTCAAACCCAGTCTTCATTTAAGAAGGGCAATGAGTGACGTAAACCCAAGTCTAATTTATATTTAACCTCAACTAATGGTGCGTGTGTGCATGCATGCGTGTGTGTGTGTGTGTGTGTGTGTGTGTGTGTGTGTGTCCTTCCACTTGGCTTGATTTAAGCATTACTCGTGAGCAGGATGATAGCATTAAAGAGAAGGAGGAAGGTGGCTTGTCCAGCAGTGAACTCATTGTGATGAATGGGCAGATAATAGGATCTGGGTCTGCTCAGTTGAAGTGTCACTCATTGAGTGGCCAAGATGTGCTTAAAAAGATTTTCCATTCATCTAGGCTTTCCCTTTGTGAAAAAGCTCTTGCTGAATACCTGGAAACCAAGCGGGTAGCTTTTCCTCGCTTCTACTTCATCTCCTCTGCTGACTTGCTTGACATTCTCTCCAAGGGAGCTCAGCCTAAACAGGTAATATTTTTCTGAAAGTCTCATGTTCTACTGTGTTAGCTAAGGAATGCCCCAGTTTCTCTGTCATTATCAGATGCCATCTGTCATGTCACATGTGCCAGAAATGAGGAAATCTAAAGCTAAAATTCCCATGCAGCAAAAGAAGGACATCAGAGATGATGCTGTCCAAAGTCAGCAGAGTAGCTGCCTAATATTCAGTAAAGCAGTGGGATATTGAATGCATAAGTTTTGGGTCCTGAAAAAAGTCCAGAAGAAGAAATACAGGTTCCAAATCCCCCAGGGTTCTGGAGCAGGGCAGGAGCATTCATTGCCTGGGCAGTAGCTTCCCTTGGGGAAAGTGGGTCACCTGGTGGAAGAAGCTCATGCCTGGTACTTTCTTCCTCAGCTCTAGGGAAACCTTTATAATTACTAAGTTGGACTAGTTTTCAGTGTTGGCAAAGCTGGATTTCTATAATTTCAGACTCAACCTCTAACTCTCATTTTTTCTGTGCCTACAAAAATAACCACCTATCTGCTGATTTCCATGTCAGTATTTAAAGCAAATAAAAGCAGATATTATCTTTTGTCATCTGAGAGCTCAAAGATAAACTTGTATATATTCCAAAATACTCCTTCCTATAAACTTTGAGAGGAAGGGGCCTCTCCTTTAGACCTATTCTGTTGTTCCCACTCACTTTTTTCCCCTCCCCTTCCCCTCCCTGTACAAAGAATTGAACCCAGGGCCTTTGCACTGAGCTATATCCCCATCCCTTTTTATTTTACTTTAGTTTTAATTTGGAGATAAAGTCTTGCTGAGTTGCTAAATGGTTCGGTCTGGAGTCAAACTTGGATCCCCTTGCCTCAGCCTCCATAGTTCTGGGAGTCCTGTACTGCCATTCCCAGGTTATTTTTTCCTTGTGAAAGCTAATGTTTGTGGTTATTCCTGGAGTAGACTGTATGTGGCTGATTACTTTGAAACTGAAGCTTGTGCTTTATTACTGTGGAGTTTTGTCCATGTCCTTTTGCTCAGAAAAATTCTTTTATGCCATTTTCTTTGGAATACGTGTCTCTCCACACTGTAGTTTCCTGAATTGTGCAGTTCCTTGTACACAATATCTTATTTCTTTCTTGTTCACCACTTAAGTTTGAATCTAAATTTTGGATGGCTGTTTGTGTTGCTTATAATATAAATGAAATTGTGTTATTAATAACAGAATTGTTGTTCAACTTTGGCAACTGTTTCAGGGATTTCACTCTTAGCGTTTTTGTTTGGTTTTTATGCATTCATGCCAACTCTCACATGGCTTTGTGGATAAAATCCCACTGATCAGATTGAGTAGGAATGCACTATCCATCCCTTACATATTTATGTAACACATAATTGTGTGCTTTTTTACAAGCTCATTGCAAACCTTATGGTGCTAACCACACTTATACTTCAGTATTCCCCTGTGCATATCCTCTAGACTGCTCACTGGAGACTTAATAAGGTATAGGGCATCATAGGCAACTCCTGGTATTGTTTCCAAAGATCTTTCAAATTCAAATGCTAAAATGGATTTTCACTGTGTAAATTAGAATAGAGGTGCATAAGTCTGTAACTAGGATAGCATTCTCTTCCTTCTGTCCTAGTTCTTTAAATAAAATAAACACTTGTATCACTGGCTTTTTGAGCACTGTTAGTTCCATGCAATTATGAATCCCAAAGGTGCCCTACTGAATCTCTTTACACTGTGATCTCTTTACAGTTTATAACATCTAGGGCCAGTATCATCATAATTTCCTGGTCCTCTTTTCTCATTAAAAAAGTGAATGAATAAACCAAAACCAGCTGAGCAGGGTCTAGTTGGAAATTCCTGCTCATTTGCATTTGCTGGCCAGGCTTTCACTTAAGCATTTGGAGTTGGAGTTGGAGTTTGCTGCCCTCCTCCGTATTTATCAGAGGGAGAGATGTGATCTGTCCAATGTTGCTTTTTGAAGGACAGGCTGAGCAACAAACCCAGAGACCAATGAGTGCTGAGCACATGATTTACCCCATCCCCTCATTGCCTGTTGTTAATGATTGAGCCTGCTGCTTGGCCAGCAGTGACCCTCAGTCTTCACACAGCACAGTGAGGATCCTCTCAAAGTCCTCTGGGAGCACATATACTACCCAGGGGTATAGGTGCCAGAGCCACCTATAACCCAGCTCTCCTAGTTGTTTCCCTTGCCAGTGTGACCAGCATCTCATTACATCTCTTTCCTTCCTTCCCTGAGCAGATGTCCAAACTTGGCACACATGGATGTCTTTCTTCTTGTAGGCTCCTATAGTGTCTGAGTGATTCTCAGCTCCTCTCACTTGACCTTGGAATGGAGATTGGGGAACCACTGATTCCTCTTCCCTGCAAGGAGCGAGGGACAGGCCATTGCCTCTGCTCTTGAATGATAACTCATAGTTCTGAGGACACCTCTTTCCCTTCCCATGTCCCTGCCACACTTGTCCCAGAAGGTGGGTGAGGACAGGGAGTTGGGATATATCTCACCAAACCCTGGAGGGACCACCTGACCAGACACATGTCCCCTATCCTCAGGTTGTGGGCACACCTGATGCCTCACTGTCCTCAACTGAAGCTCCAGGCAGCTGCTGAAGAAACAGATCACTCCACATATTCTTGTCACCTTCCTTTCAGATCATCAAAAAATATTCATGCTTTTGCCAGATAACACGTGGGCTCGCAGTGTATGCGTCCCTGCTGGCAACTTTTTTCAGACTTCAATCATGTATCGTATATATACACAGTATGTACGTATGTATGTGGTCCTGTGGATTGAACCAGGGCCTTCACACTGAGCTATATTTTTTATGTGGAGACAAGAGTATCACTGAGTCAGTAATTTATCCAGGCTGGGCTTGAATTTATGATCTTCCTGCCTCTTCCTCCCAGAGTGCTGTCATTACAGATGTGCACCAACCAACCCAGCTAATGATGTGCCTTTTATATGATGCTTTTTATTTTTATAGCATGTCTTCATTTTTTACATAGCATTGTCTTCTCTATTATCAGTGTGTCTTGTTACAGTAATCCCCCCCAACTGCCCCATCGTAGCACTGTAATTATACTCTAAGTCCTGGAATTTCACGGTACCTTCCTCAGAGCTAGTACTAACACTCCTTAATGAATGACCAGTGTGGAAGATGTTGAAAAGATTTTAAATTATGAAACTGAACATGAAATTATGAAACTGAACTGAAATTATGAAATTATGAACTGAACAGCATGCTGATCTCCAAAATCACTCCCTGCTGTGCTGATAAATGCAGGCAACAGGCTGTTTATGCCCTGCCTGGGAGGAGGCAAGTATTTCTGCTTACTAGCTAACCAGACACACCTGGTTTATAGTTCTTCTAATCTGCCAGTTTTGAGGTGATTAGATTTCTAATACAGTTTGACATTTTGTGGAGATTCACACTCTTTCAAACTGTGCGCGAAATGTGATTTCGCTGATATCTTTTTGCTATGCTACTTAGACTTTGAACAATTCAAATTCACATAAGATACTGTCACACTAACCATCTATAGTCTATTATTTAAAAAAGTGGTACATAGAACTGCAAAGTATTGCAGCCTTTGTGGTACAAATAACCATCCAAGAAGGACTTGGAGCAGGGGATTGAGAAGGAGCAAAGGGCAGTTTATGTCATGTACAGCCACAGCCAGCATCCATCCCTAGAAGTGGTTTGGCAGGGTCACTGTGCATTCTGAGTTCTTGGTCACTGACCGTGGAAAAGGGAATGCTTTTGGCAGTTATGCAGAACAGTGCAGCCTTGCTACACTCTCTTAGCATCTTTGCAATATCAGAATCAGTTTCAGACCACCACACAGAGCCTTTCCATCACTGCCTTTTGTGCTGACATTCCTGAATGTGCTTCCTGTAGTGTGACTGAGATAACAAGGCAGCTCCAGCCTGTGGACTAACAATGCAATTGCCCCATAAAAGGCAATGTTTGTGGCCAGATAAATGCATCCTGGCATCTTGTGAATGACTTGAATTCTTCAGCCCCCTCCTCTACTCACCCACACTCAATTTAAGAGTGTTGGTCCCAGAGAGAGTTCTGAAGTTAATTATGGAATTTGATAAGTCTGAGCAGCCGGGGAGGTCTGATACCTCTTTAGCCTCTGTAACCTCCATTCTATGAGCAGAAGTTTCCAATTGAAGACATTGGGGTTGGACTGTTAGAATGATGCCATTTGCTGTGTCTAGAAAGCCTTCAGTGATTATTGTCTGTGGGTAAGTTAGGTTAAGGTCAAGTTTTAAATCCCTCCTCCAATCCTGAATTCAGGCTGACCTCCCAAGGGCATTTATTATCTAAAGGACTGTGAGCCTAACTTTAGAGGTAAAACTCTGGTTGGTGCTGTGCAAATAAAACTTAAAGATATACGTGCAAAATTCATAGTCATGGTACAGTAGTCATGTACCCCTGTATATTCCATGAAATACATCTCAATACATATCAAGAATTTCTGATGAAAAATGCAGCTTGAGATATGTTATACATATAAAATATACACTGGTTTCAAAGACTTATTACAAAGAAAAGAATGTAAAATATTTCATTAATAATCACCTTAAGATGACAATATTTTGGATGTATTAGGTTAAATATATTAAAATTAAATTCTTTTTTTTTTTTACTTGTTTTAATGTGGATGCTATAAAGTTTCAGTGGTAGAAATTGAGATTCTCTAAGAGGACATGATCAAAAATACATATACTCAAGAATTAGTTTTTACATCAAGAAATGCCCTTTAAGGGCATGAGCACCAATCTACATAAAAGGAAATCTGCCAAGCTGTCTTTGAAGAAATCCCCTAAATTACAGCACTGAGACAGATAGCACTCAACTGATACTTCTAAGAGAGCGTAAACACTGGCATTCAGAAAGGTGCTTGTGAGAAGTGGGCTTAATGTTAGATGATATAAAGCACTGCTGGATCTTCAAAGAGGCAAATAACTAAAATGCACATTTCCACAAGCATAGT